CAGGCCCCCAACCCCCTCTCGCCCCCCCCCCCCCAGCCACTCCCCCTGCTCCCGCCTGACTTCTGCATGCTACCACAGGCTCCCAGTGCCAATCGCGGCCCTGCTTCCCAGCCACTCCTCCGCCCCCACCAGGCTTCCGTCTGGCGCCCAGATGGAAAAACAAAAAATACCAGACATTGCACGTGTCTGGTATTTTCTGAATATTTTTACCGGACAGAGGGCGTAAAAACCAGACTGTCCAGTAGAATACTGGACACCTGGCAACCTTAAATAGTGCCGATTGTCAGCAAGAGTCTGCTCCATCCATAGGTTATGCCCAAATTTATGTAGGGTTTCTTTAAAAGGTGTCTTTTCTTTTATATAATTTAATTCTTCCTGCTCTTTTAGGGGTTACAACACTCTCCCTTACCCTGACTCCCTTTTTCTAAACATTAAGAATATGCCCAGCACATACTGTTGCAAAGTATCCCACAGTATATAAAACCACCCACAATGTTACAAGCAACCCATCTTGTTACAAAGCCTCCCATAATGTTGCAAAGCCTCCCATAATGTGCCCACAATGTTATAAAGTAAATATTCCCAACACACAGTGAAGTATCTCTAACACACAGTGCTGTAAATCCATAATATGACTGTATCACTTAAGCCCTGTTCTTGTATTAGCACTCTATGGCAGAGGGTATATTGTACCAATTTACTACACCCATTCGTGGGCTGGGGAAGGGATCCTAAACCTCCTCAATTCTTGGGACTCCCATGGCTGAAGGTACAGATACCCAGAAACAATTTCTTTACCAATTTCTCTTAGTACCCTCACCCAGTGAGGGGGAAGCAAGGACTCTAATCCTTCTTCCTAACCAGTGAATTCTACAGCTGGTGGTCTGCACAACTGATTAATCAGTCACTTTCCAATATTTTTCTGAAGTTTTATGATGACTTTTCCACACTTCTCAATATTTATGGTTTATTACTCAGTAAATACTTATGATATCCTTCCCTCTTTCATAATTCTCCACCAAAATGTAGTGCATAAAAAACTGCATTCACACACACACACACACACACACACACACACACACTCCGTCTTGTTGTTACCAACTAATTGCTCCCCCTAACTTCACTGGCCAGGTGAGTTAGATGAGGAGAGTGGAGCTGGGCTTCTGCCGATCTGGATCTATGCTCCAATCTTCATGGTCTCATGCAAGACACCTTACACCAGTGGTCACCAACCAGTAGATCTAGAACCTCTGACAGGTGATCCTGACTGGTTTGAAGTAGGAATAAGATCCTCCGGAAAAGGGCTTTTTTTCCGGAGGATCGGGGCCAGTGTAGACGCTCTTTTCCAGCTTTTCTAAAAGCTGGAAAAAAGCGGCGGACATTTTTATTTAAATGCCGCAGGGGATATTTAAATCCCCCGTGGATTTCCCTATTACGACCTGTGAAATTAACATGCCCCTTCCGGAAAAGGGGCCAGTGTAGACGTAGCCACACTGTTCTTCACTTTCATCTTCCAATCCCACCCAAATGTGGGGAATTGTTGTTACTTCTTTTACTGCTTGCAAAGTGGGTTAGTTTTGGTTTGTGACTGGGCTGTGCATTTCATAATTTTCATTTCTCTCTTAAGCTTAAATTTAATTATTTTAGTAGTGAGGCCTCAAATGCTTAACCTGTCGTGGCTAGAGTAAAAATCCTGATGGTAATTGCTGCTCCTTGAAGTGGCTGGCATGTCCCTGCAGCCCCTGAGAAAGACAGAGCAGGAAATCACATTCTGTCCTTGCCTGCACACACCACTCCAGCAGCTCCCCTTGATCAATAACAGGGAACCGTGGCCCATAGTAGCTGTGGGCTCAGTGCCTGTAGATGAGGGGGCAACACATAATGCCATGGAGTCACTGCTGTACATACTAGCTGCTTTCAAGAGTGGTCCAGGGCCAGGGCAGGGGTAAGCCTGCCTTAATCCCACTGCTCCACCACCTGGAAGCTGTCTCAGTTAAATGGTGTCCATCCAGAGCCTGCTTCCTGAACCCATCCCAGCCCTGAACCTCCTCCTACACCCAACCTCGTGCCCCAGACATGAATCCCCCTGCACCCAAATTCTTTCCCAGAGCTTGCATCCTGAAACCCCTCCTGGATCTCAAGCTCCCAGGCTGGGCTAAGCCAGGAACCCCTCCCACTCTCCAACCTCCTTGGCCCAAGCCCAGAGCCTGCAGCTGCACCCCAACCTCCTGTCCCAGCCTGGTGAAAGTGAGGATTTGGGAGGAAATTTTTGCCCCAAAACCCTAAATGGCCTCTGCAAGGATTGAACTCATAACCCTGGGTTTAGCAAGCCAATGCTCAAACCACTGAGCTATCCCACCCCCCAAATCTAGACATGCACACACACAAATCACATGCATGCACACACTCTTCCCTCACACCTGATGACACACAACCACACACTGAACCTAACCCATGCAGAGATACGCAACAACCCAGACACGTTCCAGAAGAAAACACACGAGGAGACACACGGACCCAGCTCACAGTCACACACTCCTGTCCTCTAGGTCCGTTCCCTGCTCATGGAACCCGGCTGAGAGCTGAGACCCCGTCCCAGGCATAACTCCGCACTCCTGGTTTTAGTCCACGCCGCACGATTCGGGCCTTTGCCTGCCGCGTCATCATTTCAAGTCACTCCCACAGCGTCCCGCTGATTCCTCCGCCTTGCCTACCGCAACACAGGCTGTGCGCGCCAAATGCGCAGACAAATAGTCCGCAGCGGAGGGATCTCAGCGAGGAGGCGGGGAGGGGGGAAGGAAGACTATATAAGGGCCGCCCGTGCGTTATGTGACGCAGTTAGTTCAGCTAGATATCTAGTGGTTGTTTGTGTGCTGTCTGTTTGGAGCATCGCCGCTGCGGTGAGTAGGGGCACGGGCCTGGCTTGCTGGGGGGCGGGAGTGGGGGCGAACCCGTGATGAGGGAAAAGCGGCTC